AAGTAACGTTAACCTACCGGTAATTAGAACATGCTCTACTTCGTTAAAAAATATATGGGTCGCTTTATTTTAGTCAACGGCGCTGACTGAAAGTAATTTCCTCGTAATGAGATCAGTTGAAGAGTTTAAAACGGAAATTCCTATCACGGCAGCTCTTGGGAATTAGGCTTTACTTCATTAAGATACAGGCAAGTTGTTTATTATTACTTCTTCGCGCAAGGCCCGTAGAATAAGTTTTGGATGGATGGTGACCGGTATATTTTTAATTAAAATAAACTTTTAAACACATAAACTTAGTCTACAGAGCAAAACTTTAACTCTGTCTTATTCAACAAACATACTTCTTGCTTTTATGTTTTTGTTTTGTTTTGTTTTGATTTATTTTCTTTTTTTTTCTTTTAAATAACAATTTCTTGTTTTGTTTTTTTAAATAAATATAATCTTAATCTGCTTCATTTATTTACTTTATTAGATTCGACATAAGAAGTTTATTTATTTTATTTATTATAACTGCGTTAAATTAACAAGGGGGAGAATCGTCTCTACTTTTTAACTCAACAATTCCATTAGATTTGCTCCCTTGCTGAACAAAAAAAAGGGACTCAAATGCGAAGGCTGAGCTTCCTTGTTAAGACACAACCTCACTCAGAGAAAATAGCCTTGTAAACAAACAATACATCATACGAAAACTGCAAATCACAACAAACTACGAAACTGCTGAGTTTACAACCCAAAAGTTTACCAAAATACACGTAGCGTCAACAATGTGTGGTTTTTTGTTGTTTTGGCATAATGCTTCGCGGAAATTTGATGAGTCGTTTCGCAACTCGCGAGGTGTGTGTGTATAGAGTTTCTTTTGTTTTCGTTTATTTTTATCTGATGAGCTGCCTGGTTGACTAGTGACAGATAGAATTGAGGTGAAGATGTTTGGCATGTTGGTGTTGGAAGTTAATGGTGTGTACCGGTAATTAGCACCGTGTTGTTTGTTGCTAATGTTGTGTGTAATTGATGAAAACTTTGGTTATAGGAGTTGATAGTGTGTTGCAGTGAATAAGTGAGTTGTTAGAAAGTAGTTTCATTTGACGGAAATCATTTCAATTATATATTCTTTTTTTCTTCTTTAGGTTTTTTTTTATTTAGCTACATTTGTATACAGATACACATAACATTGAATTTGTTTTTCTTTATTGATCTATTTATTCTTTTTTTTATTGTGATAGCCGATCCAAAGCAGACTGTTTTCTCCAGGTGGGTGGGGGGGGGGGGGGGGGGAGGGCACTTGAAACTTCCAGGGGGTGCATTTAAAATCTTGGGGGGGGGGGGGGGGGCTAACACCGGTCAAAGTATAGAGGCCTACTTTAAAGTATTTCTTTTTATTTCGTCCGGGGGAGTGGATCAGTGTACGCTTCCCCCCCACCCCCCCCCCCCCCCCCCACCCACCCCCAATTCGAATCGGAAAGATGCCTGAAAGAAATGTATTCTAAGTCAAGTCCTCCCCGAGCGCCAGTTTATGTGTCCGCCTCTGAAGTGTCTGTATCTTACGTAGCTATCGACTCTGATGGTGTTTTCTTATGTATGTAACCTGACAAGATATATTGTAGGGCTCAGACAACGTCGAGGCGACCCAGCATTCTTTAACCAGCCGTAAAAACAAATTTGCTCCTGTAAACAGAGAAAAGTACAGGGAGATAACCGGGTAGTTTACATAATTTCTTGCGCAAGGGAGATAACTGATGCTTTTATCTTCAGTTGTTGAGAGCAAAACTCTTAGGAAGACAATTCGAGACACCAGTGGTTCTAAAAAAAAAAAGCGTTCATAAATTGAATCTGTATTAATTCTGTAATGAACTAAATTTAAAAAATAATATGTTACAGCTTCAAAGCCAGTAAAGTTCCTCTATAGACCCAACGATCTATTGGGTAGAAGTAGTAGAGTTAATATGTTTTTTTATATGAAGCAATAGTATGGTCAGCACTATGTCTAGCCGCTTTTACTTTCCCCATCGGGAGTTAGGTACCCATCAGAGCTGGGTGGACTCAGGGACTCTTAACCAAGATTCGAACTCGAGACCTTCGGGCTAGCAGCCAAGCGCTCTATCCCATCTTTAAAGCTAGCTACTATCCTATAATTTTCGCCATTTTTTAAACTTATTATCTTTTTATTTATTTTATTTTTTGAAAGTCTAATAGGATTGTGAATGCAACATTAGTATGTAATTTTCAGGTAATTTAGATTATGTCTATGTATATGTTTGTCGTTTTGGTTTTTGGTTGTGGTTGAATGTGTTTAGCTTTAAAGTTAGGTTTGTATGTTTATATATATATATATATATATATATATATATATATATATATATATATATATATATATATATATATATATTCTCAAACGTCCATATTTGTATATAGATATTTAATTGGAAATGCAATCTTTCCTAAACCCGGGCGACGCCGTGTATATGTTGCACATTAAACACACAAGTAATGGTACTTTACAGATAGGTGGGGTTTTTTTTTTTACAGAGACCAGGGCAGTGCCTTGCCGGAATGGCTAGTATTATAGATTATTTCGACTCATTAACTTCACTAATGTGGCACCAAATACTTTTAACTTGTTTACTACTTACCCCCGTCAGCGCGTGCACTTTAAAACACAAACATCTTGTTGCCGCCTCTGTAGTGTCGTGTCGTGTGGTGCTGGATTGTCCAGCACCCTGCTGGCAATTGCGGCGCCGACTCCTTATCTCCGCCCCGTGTGGTGAGACCTTGCATTTACCGGCATACACCTCGGCCCTTAGTCTTTTATGTCGAAGGTTTTTTTATCAATCATACCCAAAACCTCAGATATATTACAGATTATAGAGTTCAAATCTGAGTTGGGTTTTTTTCTTATATAAAATATGGCGTCAACGTGTTTCGTCTCTCTATGGCAGAGGCGTAGCGAGGGGGGGGGGGTTACATGTCCCCGGGCGCCGGCCGTAGGGGGCGCCAAAATGAATTGGAAAAAAATTGAAAGCTCATTTTAGCTGCATTTTTGCATTATAAATATAAAAAATATATGGGGGGCGCTAAATTGAAAGTTTGTCCCCGGGCGCAGGAAAGGGTCGCTACGCCTCTGCTCTATGGTCTTAGTTTGTTCATTAAATTCAGTTTTAATTTACCCGCCTTTGCCAAAAAAAAAAAAATATTATTAGTAGACGTATCAGTGTTCGTATAGTACCCTAAATTTATTCAAATAGCACAGACATATTTTCCACGAATTATCGTAACCAGATAGTAACAAAATCTGCAGACTAAAGTCTGGTAACTTGTCGTCAACAACTTCAGACAAAATAAGTCCAACGTGGCCAGATTGTTTTATCATAGATCAAAGAAGAATATCAGTTCGTCTTGCTTTGCTTTAGCCCAGAAATTAAAACCGGAAAAACAGAAACTATAGATAAAGTTAAATATATGAGCTATTTTCCATTTTTTAATGATGCTTTTGACGTGATATGATTTGTTTACTTAAAATATTTATACTCTAAAACTAATATTTTTTGGAGAAAAAACATGGCTGTTGTTATCGTTCATATTTAATTCATGAGTAGACTTGTCAATATTCCATTAGCTTAACACTGCCGCGATGGTTGATAAGTGTTCAGATTTGGTTTGCCTTCTAAGATCACTAAAAACCTGGCTAATTTGACTAACTGGCTGCACGGTTTTATTTTGATTCCATCCCCACGCGATTTAGCCTGTTAGGCTTGTTCATGCGGTCCTCTTTTTTAAATATCCATTTCTCAATGCGCAATAGCTTTATATATTAACAGCACTAAAGAAAGTAAATTAAGTCAGTTGCTACATGTTTGCCTGATACATAGAAATCTTCAGAAAATATGATGGGCGCTTGAAGTACTCTCTTAGTAAATACAGTATTGCATCTTGTTGTTTTTTTCTGCCCTGGTCGTTACACGGATGAGTTTCAGGGTTAGGGTGACTTGATAACCCAGAGGTAAAACTATAAACACAAAATAAGTACACTCTCAGAGAACTGATACACACCTAATAGTGTCTGTAATGTAATTATTCTTATTTACCACGATGAAGACAACACCGATTAAATCCTGTTTACCTGTTACTTGTTTTGTTTATTTCTTGTATGTTATTTACCTTTTTATTAGAATTGAAGAATTCTACTAGATATAGGGTGTTATGAACGGCCAAAAGTGCAGGTATTTTTTTCAGGATACAAGTGGGTTCATGGCATAAAACATTAATTTACCCAGTTTACATCGTATCTGAAAGAAAAAGCTTAAAGAACTTAATTTCCTAGATTTGAAAAAACAAAATATCACTAAATAATCGTCTGGTGGCTCAGACGAAAAACTGACGTCACCACCAAACTGTGTCATGCTAACCGACATACGTCAGAGTGTCTTGACCTGGTTTCCGTGCTAGACTCAAGCTCCGGCTCCTTATCTTTCATAGGGTGAGCGCACGGCCGTTACTCACCAACTGCCGACAGGTGCGCATGTTTCACTCATTTAACTGCATGCGTGACGTCTATGGATTCCCCTTGTATGCCCGTTAACCTTTGCCCGGATGAAGAGGTCACGGATAATTAGTCGGCTTGAGCCATGCTCGTCATTTTCTGTAACGTCACATTTTATGTAACATCATATTTTCTCTAACGTCGCTTGCTTTAACATCACTTGCTTTTACGTTCTATTTGTCACATTCAAGTACTAGATTATCCTTTTTGAGATGTTTAATAAATCAAGTCTTCTAAACCCCTACTACACACCGAAAAATATAACACCTCAGTACAACATTGCCATTAATTATCCTGCTTAAAACTATTTCTTTCTGTTTCGCAATGTTCAAAGCATTGATCGGTGTCTATGTAATCCTCTCATTTTACAACACGGCATTGGTAGTAGACCTAACAAGGGTAAAACTTGATAGAGTTAAACTCGTGTGTTGGTTTTATCAATGAACTTTGTTTTCTTTCATTTCAGGTGAAAAACATTTATCAGCATCCTTCAATAGGCAACTACATCAATGTTGTTGTTGTTAGACTTATTATCTTTGAATCATCATGGGTAATTTTTTTTCTTTCTTTATAACTCACCGTAAGGAAATACGTTTTAAAGCCCATAAGACACTATATATGTGTGTGTACATATATATATATATATATATATATATATATATATATATATATATATATATATATATATATATATATATATATATATATATATATATATATATATATATATATATATATATATATATTACTAGGCCATACATTTTTATCTTAAGCTCGATATTATTAATTTCTGCTCCCTGTCTGATTAGGAAACTCCCTTCAAAGTCTCCACCAACGCAGCTTCCATGTTAAAGGATTTCTGTCAGTGGCAGAAAACAATTAACAGTGTAGAGAACCATCATGACACAGCCATACTTATCACGAGGTAGTTTTGCTTGGTTTTAACGTGATTTTAAAAAAAATACAGTCTAGGGGAGGTAACTGTGAAAATAGTATTATCACGCTTATAGGCTCCCTTCAATTATTTATTTTTTAAATAATATTTAAGAAATGTTTTACGATATTATGAAGTGATATAATATCTTTCTCTAAGTGTTATCTATAATAATGTTTTAATGGTATTTAATTGGTAGAGTTTAAACTTTCGATTATTTATTTTTTTCTACTCGTGTTTAAACTTTCGAAATTTTATTTTCATATATTGTTTATGCATCTCATTCGAATTTTTAAATTAATCTTTCAGAGAGGATATATGTAGAGCAGTGGGCAAGTGTGATACACTAGGTAAGCTTCACTTTATATTTAAGAGCAGTGTGCTGTTTTCGACGGAGTGGTCGGTCTTACATCCGACTTCAACTATTGCTTCCCTTGGGTTTTTTAAAAATTCCGCCGGTGAAACAATAGCGAAATATTGTCATTTGGGATTTTATTTTATTCTATGGGAAGCCAAAACATAATGTAACCAGCTGTTATTACGTACAGGTCAATCGAATCTAAGCAATATTTTTACTTTATCTCGTCCATGTTAATTATACTGCGCAATTAATGAATCATCAGGTTTACCAATGTCAAAATAAGGTCTTCTTGTTCGGTCAAACATTATCCATTCCTTTAAGATATAAATTATCTTTATATTTAGAATCCCCATATAGCATATTCATATCTCACGTATATTAATAGCATTGGTTTTTATTGCCGAGATTTATTTCCTTATTTTTTAATATAAATTATCACATATCTTTTCATAAATGGCATCAACCCTATTAAAGCTGTTTTTTTTTTAAAACAAATGTCTAAAACTAAATACGTTTGAATGAAAATCTCCCAATTTAAAATTAAGGCAATAAATCTTTGAAGCGCCGCATACAATAATCAAACCGGTATTTTTGTCGAGCTTACCGGGTTGAGCTCTGTGTTTATAGGCTATGTCGGGGTGCTATCACTCAGCCTAAGCTAAAATCTTCCTTAAACCCCAGACAACCTCTCGTCATAGCGCGCACATTCTTTTTGTCTTACGACACCAGAGTGAAGACACCCACTGTACCAGAACAACATTATTCTAAATAAATATGTACACTTTCGATCACGCAAATTTCTAACCATTTCTACCTTCCCTTCTCCCTTCCTTATTGTCAAGCAATATGTCTAGTTAATAATTTAATAATGTAGGGTTAGGCATGAATGTCATCAATCACTTACGGGATGGAGGTCAGTTTTGTGTCTATATGCTACTAGGGGGAGCAGGATGTGGCGAAATGGATAGGCCCATTTGATAGACAATTTATTGTGTTTAAATATATTTAAACATGTCCTTTTTATGTGTCAACTCTGTTTATTTATGCAATAACTGTAGTTGGTATTTGTAAATTTAAATATCACATTAAGAAACTGGTTACTGATTATTTTTTAGGATTAGCAGAGCTTGGAACCATCTGTGATATTAATAGAAGCTGTTCCTTAATTGAAGACAATGGGATCAGTGCCGCCTTCACTATAGCTCACGAGTTAGGTCATGTGTAAGTAGTTGCATATTTTGTCACATTTTGTTACGTTTCAGCACATTGTTAGTATCTATGTACATAATTCTCTTCGTGGACACCACGACGCAAGCCGACTATCTATCCCCCCCCCCCCCTCGCTCTCAAAGCATGCGAAAAGTCACGCTATCACCCCTACCAGCCTGGTGAGGTGTGGTCCACCCCGAATGTTTACAATCGTAGAGCCTGGTAGAATTAGTGACGGATATTAAGGGCAGATAATTTAGTTTTTTAAACGATTTGAAACTGGGGGGGAAAGGGGGGGGGGGGGTGGGTGTAAGAAGTTCTGCTTGATCCTTTCATTGTCGTCTGTAAACTGTCGTCACGGACGGCTGCTTTCGCGGGTGGGGGTGGTATCGAATTCACAAATTATGAATTACTGAAAAGTAGAAAATAAAACAACTAAATAGCGTCTTATGCTAAGCCGCGGGTCGGCTCGCATAATATTATTCACGTTGACTATGTGACTGTGACTCCTGTGAGTGTTACATAGATTCTAGATTTACCCCAAGATACAGCACATTTGACTTGCCAGCAAAATAATTCACTATTTGTGTTTGGTCTAATCTCAAGCCAAATGTTTTGAGCAGAACAATCATTGATTTTTTTTAAAAAAAAAGATAGTAAGTAAAATTGTTATTAGTAAAGTAGAGCTGATTATTGATTATTGCTAGATCTATCTATATATATAATTCTCTTCTGGGATCAGTTAGAAAACAAGCTGCAAGCGCGCCTTTGCAGTCCCCTCTCTTCCTCTCTATCACTATCACTACCACCCCCACCCCCACCCCACATGATCTGGTGAGCGGTGTTCACTCTGTTTACATTTTACAATCATAGAGACGGGTTTGGTGACGGCTATTAGGGGCAGATAATTTAGTTTGAAACGATTTTAAACTTAGAGGAGGTAACTAAGAGGAGGCTGCTTTCACGTGGGGGGGGGGGGGGGGGTTAGTGTTTCTAAGCAAATATTTTCAATGGCAGCATTGGTACTGTCGAATTCACAAATAATAAATTACTGAAAAGTAAAAAAAAAAAAAACTAAATAGCGGCGTATGATACGCAGCGGGTCGGCTCGTATGTTTAAATCGTATTTGTATAAGAGGGGTTCGTTGATATTGTATTGCTGTACACAGCCCACATCAACAAAATTAATACATTTAATTTGTGCCAAATGTTTTGATTTTGTTCTGGCCATTCTACTACGGGCAGTTGTAGTGTTTGTCGTCTGCTAGTAGTTCAGCCTGGTACAGTGCGCCTTGCTAAGAGAAGGTTCAACTGACACTGTAAAAGATTTTGCTCTGTTTTTGTAGTGAAGTGCAAGATCTAGATCTAGATTCGATATATTTATATAACTAATGTTGTATTGTTTTCACCTCTCCCACAATAAATCCTCTGGACTTGGATTTGATTTACTCTAGATCTAGATCTAGATCTAATATAGTCTAGATGTAGAGTTTTAGAGAGGGTGGACGGGTATATTCTAGATCTTTCTTTTCTGGTGCAGATTTTTACCGTCTTGGCGTGTTTAGTGTACTGTTTACCATTGTTTAGTAGCTTTAGTTATTAGATTTTTAGAAGTTACTAATTATATATCTATTATTATCTATATCACACTCATCTAAATGAGTATAAATATCTAACACAGCCCAATAAAATAATGATATTTTTTTTTAATTTTTATTAAAACATGTCTCTAATATATAATATATTATATAGGCCTACATCTACTAGTATAGTTAACTATGTCACTATAGTATAGAATTATAGAATAGATAAACTACTACTGACTTATAGATCTAGCACCCTCCACTAAACTCTACACTAAACCTGATATTACAATAGGCTACAATTAACAATGAAATACTAATAGTAGTAATAGCCTTCCAGTTTTGGTAAAATCCATTCCTACAAGCAGGAGTAATAAACTACAGCAGCTATGAAAATGATGATATAATAATTTTATTACTATTTTTTCAGATTCAATCTACCTCATGATGATGACAAACAATGCACAGAGCTATTACCTGAAGATCAGAAATCAGCATTCCATGTTATGGCCCCAACTCTTGACTACAATGCAAGCCCATGGGATTGGTCAATTTGCAGTTCAAGACTTATTACAGAATTTATCGAGTTAGTTTTTAAGTACTTAAACAGAGGTCTTATAAGTTATCATCTAAAATCTAAATTCACTATTAATTTTTTAGATTAATTTCTATTGTAGTGTTGGTTTATCTGTAGAACTTAATTTAGACTCAATCCATCTAATATCAATATATTATAAACATTTGCTTTTAATGAGATAATTAATTTTAATATAAAAGCTACTTCCTAAAAATGTAACCTTTTTCATCCTATCACACTCATCTAGAACAATGTGCAGTTAAGCCTAGATTTTCCTAATGTTTCCATTGTTTTCCTTCTCTGTTAAAGTGCTCCAACTTACAAAATTTTAAAAACTTTCTCATGCCAAGGAAACATAAATTAATATATATTATATCACATCTACAGAGCTGGATATGCTCATTGCCTACTTGATGGAAATAAAGTCAAAACTTATACACATTCATTGAAAGACTTCAAAGAGCCAGGCTGGACATATTCAGCTGACAAGCAGTGTGAACTTGTGTTTGGACCAAACTTTGTTATATGCCCACAGTCAGTAAGTTCATTTTGGAAGTCCCCATCCTGTTAGACATTTCATAAGCTACTAATTTAATTTGTAAACTTGTAGTATTTTCCTCACAAAATCTGAAGATATTTTTCTTTTCTGTTTTTTTTTCAGATGACATTGGTAAGTATAATTCAATACATTAACTTCAATTATTAAATCTGCATGATTTCAACTAGTAACTTAACTGAACAATTTTTTTTTCATTAAATTTTTATAATTTATCAACAAGTAAACAGTGGTCGGCGTGGTCGAGTCGGTAAAGCTCATGGTTGCTAAAACCAAAAAGTCTCGAGTTTGAACCCTCGGGCAGATGAGGATCGTTAGCTGGTGACAGCCACTCTTCTAGGAGAGACAACTCCAAAATCTAACAACTGCTGCCTTGTAGTTTGTTCTTGGTTGAACAAAGCTAATCCAAAGAGAAAAGCAGGCTGAAATCAAGAGTCAATGGCCTCAATGGCGCATAACCAGTTGACACGTATACTTAACTGTGTAGGAGGCATGGTCAAGTTGGCAAAGCTCATGGTTGTTAAATTTGAAAAAGTCTCGAGTTCAAACCCTTTGGCAGATAAGGCTCTATCCCTTTCAACACTAAAAAAAAAATTAAGAACAAAGAAGAAAGAACAAGTAAACTACAATGTGAAAGTACTTGTGTGTTGTTACCTGCAAATAGACTTTGTCCTTCAGTACATTTGCTGAGGATTGTGCATTATTGTTGGCTATTAAGCAAGCTGTAGTATGTATAATATTTTACATGTACAGAGATGTTTTTACCCTCAGCATCATCCAGTTTGCCGAAGACTTTGGTGCACACCAAGTAATGGTACGGATACAGGCTGTCGCACTAAACATATGCCATGGGCTGATGGCACACCGTGTGGTGAAGGCAAGGTAAAACAAAATAAAGCTCAGATAAACAACACTGATAATATTATGAACTAGTATCTTAGATGTTCTTATATTTACTCCTTCGTTGAGTAAATTTATTTAAGGCTTACTGTTAAATTTGTAAGTAGCTATTATGGATATTAATTTTTGGGGTGTAATAGTAGAAGCTGTTGAATTCAAGGATATTAGAATTTATTTTTTAAATCTATCTTCACTGTTCACAGATATGCATGCAAGGTTCATGTAAGCAGGTTCCTGAATCTAAACCTAAAGCAATAAATGGTGGCTGGGGGAATTGGAGTGCTTTTGGTGGCTGTTCTCGAACATGTGGTGGAGGAGTAAAGACAAAGTATCGTGAATGCACAAATCCTGTGTAAGCATTTGAAAGATTAATTCCATTCATTAGTTGTTTTTTTGTGTTCCTTATGGAATGGCATATTGAGGGATCACTTGGTCAGCGCTATGCCCAGAAACTTTTACTTTCCCTAACGTGAGTCAGACACCCATCAGAGCAGGATGAGCTCAGGGCAGTCTTACAGACTCAAGTCCAAGCAATCAAGCACTCTACTGCCGAGCCATGACTCAAAATTCAAAACATTCCCTAACAACTGGCAGAAAATGTATCCAGATAGTTTATACCCTTGTTATAATATACCCTGACCAAGTTTTTCTCAGTTTTGCAATACTGTGGGTTTTATTATTTAAAAAATCACATCTATGACTATTATCTTTGTTGCAACAATAATAATTGAGAATAAATCAATATCAGCATCTTAAATAAAAATAGCATAATTCATTTATAGGTCTACTTCTGCTAAATCAAAATACTACAATAATGCCTTAGGCAAAAAAGAATAACATGTAAATAATGTACTTGGCTCAACATTAGTCCAACATTAAATGTCTGACAACAGAATATTTTTATTTGATAACAGTAGTTCCTATGCAAAATTTTATGTTTAGTAGGGCTATATATGTCAAGCCTAATATTTAATAGGGAGTCTACTTTTTTTACAACTGCAAATTTACTCTCAATTTCTAGATCTATATACATAATTATAAATGCATGTACTTTTTAAAGCTAGTAATAAAGAATGGTTGCCTTCATTATAATAATGTACATTCATTTTTCAGACCACAAAATGGTGGCAAATATTGCTTAGGTTTTAGAGAGAAATTCAAATCTTGCAATATTAAGGTAAAGTTTATAAAATCATTGTGTAAATACTTTGGCTAGATTTCAAAATTTCATTAAATTTATTTAAATAATGCATTGTAAATGCTATAATAAAATTAGTAATTTATATGTATTTTTTGTGTGTAAAAAAGTTATGAATGCCAGAAGTAATGTTACAGTTAATTAATATTACTCTATCTTTTGAATGTGTATAGCCTTGTGATGAGAACGCCCAAGATTTCAGAGAAGCTCAGTGTGAAAGTGACGTGATGAGAAAAAAATTTGAATACCATGATTCTGCTGCGAACTCCACTTGGAAGCCAAAGTTTTCTGGAGGTATGATGTTTGGACACAAGTTCTGGTAAATATAGGCTATACATTAGTACAATTGCTTTAACTTTTAAAAATGTAGCTCATAACCTGAGGACAAGAATAAATAAACTTCATTTAGTGGGAATATTAAAAATGTATTAAACTAATTCTTTCAGAGTTTTATAATTAAAATGAATTTTATGAAACCTTTATTTTTGCAGTGTATACTAGGTTTGCTTGTAGGTTATACTGCAATGCACAAAAAAATTCAACTCTTACCCAGCTCTCAAAAAATGTAATTGATGGAACCAAATGTGGAGAATACACTGATGACATCTGTATCAATGGCCGCTGTTGGGTACATATATTTAATTATTGTAGTTGCTTTGACATGCATATTTTGACATTCATATTTTTTAATAAATATTCTAATGACAAGCTGATATTCATTAAAATAAAACCAGTACCACGTTTAATTTTTTGTCAAAGGCAGTGGGATGTGATAACAGATTAGGATCATCTGTGAAACGAGATTCATGTGGAATTTGTGGAGGGGATGATATGACCTGCCGTACAGTGACAGGAACTTTTAATAATGCTATATATGGTAAGAAAACTGTTGTTTGAAAGGTGGTAATCTTACTGGGTTTTTTTAGTTGATTTGGTTCATAAATAACTCAAATACAAATTTAAAATATTTTGAAAGAATAGATGTATAATGAAACTGTTACTTTTAAATGAAAGACTAATTCTTCAATAGCAAAAAGTCCTGTCAATAGATAACCATGTGCTATTTCATCTTTCATGAATTTCTAACTGATTATGAATGTTTTTCACAGGTTACAATTATATAGCTACCATTCCAAGTGGTGCTACAGCTATAAAGATAATTCAATATGGGCCTTATGGGAATTCTAGGCTCTTCATAGATGATGACAATTATTTAGGTGGGTAATCTAATGGATTTTAGTTCATCAAAAAAAGGTTTTAACAAATAACATATATATTACTTTTATTAGCTAATTACACATCATCATGGTATAATATTCAGAATAGTAGACGTTGAAAAAATATTTTTTGCAATATGAAAAAATTAACTAATAACAATCATACATTTTAGCACTTCAAGACTCACAAAATCGCTACATCCTCAATGGGGAGTTTCTAGTAAGGACTGATCTATTTAAAGTAAAAGTGAAAGGGGCACAGCTTGAATATACAGGTTGTGGAAAGACTGTGGAAAACATTACTACAAATATGATAATTGGAGAGGATATCAAACTTTTTGTAAGCAAACCTACACCTTTTAGTTTTGATTTAGATTTATGAGCACAGATAGATTGAAAGAAGAATAGTAGAAATAATTTGATTGTGTGCTAAAGCTATAATATTAATTATAATCCATTTAATTTTCTTTAGGTACTTTCTGTTGGAAAGATGAATCCTCCGAATATCACCTATTCTTACAGAATTTCAGTAACTAAAAAAGTTGTATGGAAAAACAAAGATTGGAGCAAATGCAGTGCAGTATGCAATGGTAAAAATCCTAATTCTATTTTGTAGATTTTTCTGTTTAAATGCTTTTTTTAGTAATTGTTTTCAACAATAATTTTGCTTAAATTACACTCATTCTGTGAATTTGATATGTGATACTACTTAAAAGCCAAACTTCCTGTAGACTTTCCTTTTATATAAATTTCATTCCCAAATTAAACAATAGCAATCCTTTATTCAACCATATATTCACATTTAACTCTTTGTCCTAATATACAACTAAAAACAAAGTTTACTAATCATGTTTATCTATTTGAAAATGATATCAGCAAATCTAAAATACATTAAAGTATTTTAAAATGTTCAATGAAATAGTATGAATAGTAAAATGAATGTATTATTGAAAATATGGTAATAAATTATGTTTATTGTAAACTTAATCTCACCAAATGACACCATACAAGGGGATTACACTAAAATAAAATAGAGCCAATTTTAAATGAGAAAGTCTGCTTTTACCAGTTAATTTTTTAAAAGTAAACATGCCAGTCAAACACACAGGGTGACACCAATCAGGATGGGGATGACACCAAATCTATGGTTTTAGTACATCATATATATAGTGTTTGGTGGTGGGGGTAACACCCTAGGTTACTGCACCAGGCATCACCCCACCTAGTGACGCCACTTAAGCTAATTAGTCAGTAAACTTTAAAATAGAGATAATTTTGGTATGATTGCAAATCATTCTATTTAATAATAGGGGAAAGGAGGAGCATTGCCAGATGTGTCCGTGAAGAGGATGATCACATAGTAACGCCTAATATGTGTAAGGATTTAGTGCGACCACCTCGTGTGACTGAGCATTGTAACACAGACTGTACTGTTAGGTAAAAAACTGTTTTTTTCTAAACTTTTTTTAAAAATGTAACATTTTTTCACTATTTCTATTTTTAAAAAACATGTAAAAAATTTATGAGTATGGTTAGAAAACTCCTAAATCATTATTTTAAAAAAAAAAAGGGTGTTATCTTATGCCTGAATTTTTTGTTTGTTTATTTCTTCAACTGTTTAGCTGGCGTGTACTAAGCAAAGAAGAATGTCCAGTAAGATGTGGCACAGGGATGAGGTACCAAGCAGTTCATTGCATTAAACAAGTTGGCTTCAAAACAGCAGAAATTGTAAACGACAAAGAATGTGTTAGACTGCATGGTGTCAAACCTGACGCATATGTTCCATGTGAAGGCAAGTGTCTTGCCACCTACTGGACTTATACAGACTGGTCACAGGTAAGATTTGTTTCATTTTCCCAACACATTCATCATGTTGCTGTTCAAATATATTTATTTCCTTTTAGTAATGTGTCTCTCTATAAAATATATCATTACAACAGAAGATTGTTGCTTATTTTTTTTTGTCATAACCTAAAATTAATGTTTTTGAAATTATCAGATGTTTTATTCTTTTCATTTCAAATCTAGTGCTCAACATCATGTGGTGAGGGGTTACAGACCCGCCAAGCTAAATGTGTTGATGAATCAGGAAGGGAACATTCTGATACAGAGTGTGATGGCAAAGAGAAGACACTATCTCGTGTGTGCAAGTCAGAAGAATGTGCAGACTGGTCTACTGGCAACTGGCTTGGGGTAACATATTCTTGTCTATTTTATAAAATGAATAGAAAAGCTTTCCTAAAATCAAACAGTAGGAAAACTGCTGTATTGTTTTTTTTCTGTTAGTGTTCTGTCACTTGTGGAAATGGCTATAAACAAAGAAAAGTGTGGTGTGATCAAGCTGGGCAGAAAGTTGATGAGGCAAAATGTAGCAAGAAGAAACCTTACAGCAAGAAGGACTGCAACTTGCAGGAATGCCATGAATGGTTTCCTGGTGGATGGGGACCGGTACGGTTATTAATTATATTAAAACAAATCAAGTGTGAAAATGTGATATTTAGTTCCCAGCACCTTGTTTCAATATGGCTAAACATAGAGAAAACGTAAAGTACTCAAATATTAATTATAACAATATGGTCAAAGTGCATGAGTGATTTAATCAGATCAAATTAAAAATATAAAAGATTTATAAGAAAGAAAACAAAAAATGTATGGATAATCATAATTTTAGGATTGAATTGCAAATAATTATTAATACTATCCACTTTTTAGTGATACTATAATCCCTTAAATATATTTATTATTTACACTTTCATTTGTTGCTTTACCTCCCTTTGTTTAAAACCAAAACTGTGTGGAATCACTACTCTAAATTAAATACTCGAATTTTTCTCTCTACTTTTTTTTCAGTGTTCTGTAACTTGTGATAGAGGAATAAGCATGAGAGCTGTTAAGTGTCGTGTAGGTGAAAAACTGCAAGATGACAGTTTTTGTGATTCTAGCCTGAAACCTGATGACACACGCCAATGCTACATGGGAGCTTGTCCCACACCAAAACCTAAACCCACAATCACGTCACAAGCTGTGGGAGCATACTGGAAATTTGGCAGTTGGACAGAGGTCAGAAAGGCTTTCATGGAAATGAAAATCATAAAAAGATTATGGTTTTAATATGAACTATTTCTTGAACATTTTTGGCAGTCCGTGTTATTGATCCTTATTTTTGGTGCCTGATAGAAATTAGTTCAATGTCATCTTTATTTAATATCGTTGTAACTTTTTCATATGTATCATATTCAAACATTATTTACTGTAAAATTATTCTCTTACAGTGTTCTGCTACTTGTGGGAGTGGTAAGAAGCAACGAGCTGTCAGCTGTCAAGATAATAATGGAAACAAAGTGAATGAAAATCAATGCTCCCATCTAACTAAGCCAGAAAGTGTTGACAACTGCATGCTCAAACCTTGTGGAGAATGGCATTATGGAGTTTGGAGTGATGTAATTATTATTAAACCTTTTGTTTTTGTACATCATCTCTTAGATTCATCGTTGTTTAGATTGTTGTTAGTTTGGAGTGATGTAATTATATTTGAAGTCATTGCTTTTGTACATCAACTCTTAGAATCACACCTGCATAACTTCTTACTTTTTTTTACAATCGTAACAAATAATTACAAATTTTATCAAAATAATAAATATTTCTAGGGATATATACGTTTTTTTAAAGTAATAATCATAAAAGACAAATAGCAAACTTGTTATGAATGGTTGTTTTTTTTATTTTTGTCAATAGTGTTCTGTCACATGTGGTGATGGCATTCAGACGAGATTTCTCACATGTACCTTCAACCAACAACATCAAGATGTCAAGTTCTGTGACATTACAACAAAGCCAGAGACTGAAATCAGATGTAACAGAGGCACTTGTATAGGTGTTGATGATCTCAGTATTGCAGTTATCACCAGCAACAAAGTTGTTGGCACGCATCACTGGAGAGTTGGATCATGGAGTGCTGTAAGTTACAGTTTCTCTTCATTCAAAATTTAATTTAACAGTTTTTTTTATTTTGTCATATAGTAATTAAAATGATGATGTTGATTACACTTACACTTATGTAAATAAGAACTGTTAGTATCATTGGTATTGAAAAAAAAAAAAATTTTATATTTAATTGTAAAATAAAATAAAATAATTTTCTTTTACATTTTTTACTTGAACAAAATTGTGTTTTTTGAAAATGTTGATAAGCCAAAGATGATAAATTTCAAGCATTATAAAAAGTGTTGATAAATTTCAGTGTTCAACCACCTGTGGTTCTGGTTGGGAAAGACGTGTTGTTTTGTGCAGGGATGAACGTGGACCCAGTGAAGAGTGTGATAGAAAGGTGAAGCCAGATGAGTTTAGAAGCTGTAACAATGGTGAATGTCCTAAATGGACTGCTTACACATGGTCTAATGTAAGTAGTTCTTTCAGTGAATATTACAATATTATTATGTAGCTCATTCCTAGTATGCTTAACAACAAAATATTGAGATTTGACATTTGCTTCATTTTAATATTTTTTTACTGTTCAGTGTTCTGCTGTCAAGTGCAATGAGGAAGGTCAGCAAAGCAGACTAGTCGTTTGCCAGCTGCATAATGGTGACATAATAGCCAACTCTTACTGCGACCAAAGATCAAAGCTTTCAGAGACCCAAGACTGTAAAGGTCCCTGTGATCAATCTACTGAGGGCACTTGGAAAAAAGGACAATGGTCTGCGGTAAGCACCTCTGTTCCTAACCATAACCAAGACCACAGGTTAAACCCCATTGGAAAATTGCATTATCGCCTCCCTTTACATCAGAGAAAGCATATATTAGATAGTGATTATTTTAACAGATTTAGTAACTATGAACCTAGGTCTGCCTCAACTTCTGCACCAGTAGTACAAGAAAAGAATCTAGCCCAGCTAGAAAATGAACACACATCTTTACACAGAAAGGGTCACTATGATCTCTCATCTGATGCTAAAAATAAGAATTATAAAAACTTGGATGAGGATGATAATGTTAACTCAGATAAGCGTCATGTTGCCCAGCGAAATGTGCCTTTTTCATTCCCTTATGGAAGAAGGAACTCACAGAGTTATGGGTCCTCACCTGGCAATGTTCCCATTGCATCTCTGGACAAAACCACTGAGAGAACAGTAGGCAGCCAGTCAGCCAGGAATTATCTTTCATGGCTGGATTCAAGATACAGGCCAAGATCAGTCTATGACCCTGCGATGAGGTCAGGACCCAGACCAAATCTAGACTCAGCTTTAAATCATGAAGAGCAATTAACCCAGAGAAATAGTGCTGCAACACAGAGTTCGGGATATTTTCAGCCACACAATTATAGAAGTGGTCCCCCTAGTTCGCAAAGAGAATCAACATTACCCAAAACTTCCCATCCAGCTCCGCAACATATTAAAACCTGGAATGGTAATCCCAGCCAGGAGGCGACACCAGAATACACTAGAGGGAGATTACATTTACTGCATAACTTTGAAACTACGAGACCATTTTTTTATTCTGATAGGAGATATATTAACAGTGTAAATGATAGGGCTTATTATACAACCTCTGCATACAACTACCCTAAGCAAAGACATTATAGCAGTGATCAGAGGAATACAAAAATGAGCATTCAGATCAAGAGTTATGTCCCTTCGGTGAGAAACAAACCTCAGGCAATGGAAACCACAACACCTCCAATGCTGGGCTATTTCTCTGAGCAGCAGGAACATAGAAATGATGGAGAAACAAGGCCTGAAAACAATCAAAGACAAGAACTAGAGAATAGTAAATTCACTGGTGAAGATGCCAACATTAGAAATGTGCTGTTTAAGGAGAGAAAAGGAACACACACCACACATTTTGGTGAAAAACATAGCCTTAGAGAAAAGAAAAAGGAACATTCACTAAGCTAATGATAGTTTCCTCTAGTAAAACTAAAGATAGCTAGTTTTTAGGTAAATCTATTTCATTTTTATTTTCTTTAATACATGTTGAAATGGTCAATAGGCCTACTAATTGAACCAATGTTATAAAATCAATTTCATCAGCTGTTGTTGTTTTATCAAAGCAGTTGTCTGTAATCAGTTGGTTTAATTGGATTGTTTTTTTATTGTTGCGATGCATTTGTTGTTGGCTCATTAGGTTATTCTTGAATTTTTTATGATTTTAGAAACCGTCCGGAGTAATTTATATGTTTGTTTCGGTTTCTTGTTTTTTTTTCATTCATGATTAGTTTTTACATAAATAAATTTATGCTTTTTTTTAGTTTAATTCATGGCATCACTTTATGTTTATGTGACTATTTTAGACTCATTTTTAAATAAGCAAGTATTCCAACTTACGTGTCTACTAAACCTTAATATAATGGTATTCGATAGCAAATAACTTTTAAAAATCTATTACCTGTTGGGGGGAGGGGGGGGAGTTAAAATAAGACAATTTCAATTTTAGAGAATTTGTTTACAATCATTTAATAAAAATTAGCATAAGTGGCCCCATCTTTGAAATAAACAACATTGGCCATGTGAGCTCTATCTCATCTATCCTGTGGACCAATGAAAGAATGCTAAAAACAATCCCACACCCAATCACTATTGGCATTTTGTCGTCAATTTGGTGTTATAAAACAACTATTTACTAGTTATTTCCTTTATTAAGGGATAACCTGTAACATTTTCACATCGTTGTTCATTGATCAAAGCTTATAACAAGTAGGCCTAGTCTACCCTCGTAATATACTAATATAGTCCACCCATCCATTTTCGTTTATGGTAGTTGTTCCAAATTTTTATATTCTTTTTTTTTTCGAACAGTATGCCTAGTTGTTTATTTCCATTGTTTTTTAGTCACAGACATCAAAGAAAACACCGAAATAAATAACCTCTATAATCAGGATATATCCAATATCCATACTTATATACGCTTAACTTACCATGTTGTTTTGTTATGAAGAAACGTGCAGTGTCGATGCGCACATGTACTCGAGCATTTTGTGATACGTGCACGTGTTAACTCAGGGTAACTACAGGTGGGGGAGCAAGAGTTCGATTAGAATGTGGTTTCAGTTCCTGAAGACTTTCTGATTGTATTTTTGTTCCCCTGTGCTTTTGTTTGTGTATAGCATGTAAATAATATAAATTATCTTTATGAATATTTTTTTTCAACGCGTACTGTTGGGCTAAACTTTTTTGCAGAGGCGTAGGGGGGGTACATATGTCCCAGGGCGCCGACCCTAGGGGCGCCAAAATGGGTTGAAAAAAAAATTAAAAGCTCATTTTAGCTGCAGTTTTGCATTATAAATATAAAAAATATTGGGGTGGGGGGCAAATTGAAAGTTTGTCCCCGGGCGTCGGGAAGGGTAGCTACGCCTCTGCTTTTTTGTGATGGGACGTTAAATACTCAACAAATAAAGGTAGGGAGTGATAAGAGCAAAAGTCAAGAGAACCAGTGTCAACTTATGTAACAATGCTTCTGCTAAATACTGTTCAACGTAATTTTACTCCCTGAAAAAAATTTCGTTTTTGCTATAAAACTTATTCAAACTTGGGGATGCGAAAAGTTTCACAAAAATTTACCTTATTTAGAAAATAAAAAAAAAAAAAAACAGCAACACATTAGTAAGCATTTATAGCATAAAAATTTCGTTGTTTTCTTTTCTCCTTAGTCAATATTAAACAACCTTGTAGTGTACCTGAATATAGCTAACAGTTTTTTCTTGAAGAAAGTCAAATGAAATTAATCACCAACCTCTAAGATACACCTTCGCGTTTTTACATTGTTGCGGCCTGTGAAGCCAGCTCAAATAGCACCTAGATCTAGTTATTTATCTGATCAGGCGCTAAATACCCCATGTGTGGGAAGATCGGTAGCTGCACATACGTAATAGAAATAACGTATTGGTGATTCAAAACTGTGTTTTATACCGATAAATTACAACATTTTTAGGCTAGTAGATACCGCCCCCCCATACCTCAATATGTGATTTACATGTTAGGCGTTTCATCTGGCTGCCAATCATATTGTTAATGCCAATGATAATTATTGTATATTTGTGACATATGATATATGTATTACGTAGGCTATGTAGAGGAGTGCGTACACGTAATGCCCTCTTAAATTGGGTGTATGGAACGATGTCGCATTTACTGTTGTGCGTTACAACAATTCTAGCCTATTTGACATGTTTTGTTAAAACATTTTTTGATCTGCCAGAAATTAATTTAATTGATGTTAAAATATTTTTTATATATCTGTACCATGTTTTTTGTTTTGTTTAAATGAATAAAAATAAAACAAAAGTTTAAAATAACTTATAAAATCTAGCCAGGAGATTGGGTAGAGCGCCTATAGACGCCCATTTCTTCCATGTCTCTCTCCCAGCCAGCGGCTTTTCAAACTGCGTTCATGTAAAATACTGAGACCGAAAATGAACCGCCTGTATTGCAATAAATGCTTACAGGCGATGGAGTCTTTTCGCTCAGAGCATGCGTAGCTTGGAAATGCCACTTGGTTTGGGGGTTGTAGTATGGAACGAAAATGGGGGTTGTCGGGCCTACCCAATCTCCTGGCTAGGTTTTTTTAAAACGTTTTTTTCGTGACCTTTGCCCTCTGGTAACCCGATACCTCGCATAATTATCATAAAATTTCATTAATGTAAATCTCGGTAGGGGTTCCGGGTAGGGCTCTAAGCCATTTGGGCCAACGGCAGACCTTTCACGCGCCTACCAGACGCGGGCTTGCCGTGCACCGACGTCACTTCCGCTTCTTCCGCTCGTGTTGTTTTAGTCCTTTCTTAGATCTCGTAAATAAAATGTGGATGCTTAGCGGGATGAGGGTGGCTATGGGCAGGTGGGGGTCTCTTTTCTGATTGGGTAAAATATACTGTTGCAAACTCGCGCAGACAGTGGGGGGAAGTCAAGAGGAAGGGTTGTATAGGCACCCCTTCAACCAACCCGCCCGTATTTTCTTATTCCCCTAAAGGTCTTTTAGAAGAGAAGGCGATGACAAAATGTCTACGTCAGCTATTAATCCGTGAAAAATGCATAGTCAGCTCAGCACAGTTTGGTAGAAAAATCTGGACAATATATGTATACAGTGGTCAGGCGACTGAATCTTTGGACTTAATTTGGGAATAATACAAGAACAGTTTTTAATTGGTGAAATGTGATTTCTTTTTCTTTTATAAAGACTAATATCAGGTTTATGTATTTAGAAATATATTATGTTGTCATCTTTTTTTTTAACAATTAAAGCTACTCCCAAATACCACTTTCTGATTTTGTAATAAAAAAACTAATCGCTGTCAATGGGATCTATATCAAAGCTTGTTTTTCCGTGTAACTATAAGTTGTAGTGTTTTTTTTTATTATACTATGTTTATTTATGTCTATTTTCGGTGCTGAATCGTGTTGAATAATTTAAACAATCCAATAAAGTTGTATTTTTAATTGAAGACATTATTTCTCTGTGTGCTGCGTTTATTCAAAGCAAGACTCAACATTAATTCAGTTCAATCTCTAGCATAGTTTCTATACATAATCTTCACAGTTCATCTGGCTTTACTCTATACGGTACCACAAAGTATTTGAACTATTTGTCCATATTTTCTTGCTTTGGTACCACAAAGTATTTGAACTGTTTGTCCATATTTTCTTGCTTTGGTTGCAAGCTTTTATCGGATTTCGTGAGTTAGTTTTAGGCACGTGTCCCTTCATGATTAAGT